CTGAGGATACGAATGTTACAACTCTCTCTTACTTGAATCAGACTTCATCCTTGTAGTCCGTAGCTACAAATAACTTTGGGTTATGCTCTGTGATGTGCACAAAGTATACCTATCAACTTTTATATTTATAACCTAACAAAACTTAACTAACTATGCACTTATAGGCACTATACTTAGTCAGATTATATAATAGTAAAGTAAGTCAGGTGTCGATCACAGAGAATGATATTTAATTAATAAAATAATTATTAAAAGCTAAACTAAGAAAAACTACTAAATGGGGGGTTTTATTTGATTTTACAAGTTCAGGAAAACTTAAATTTAAATACCTAATTAATGACTAGAAAGACAATTTAAAACCAAGAAAAATAGATACTTTCGTTTAGCTTCGAAATGATAACTCATAGGACTCACATGCATAATTAACTCACCCTTTCTTCCAAGTAGTTAAGCAGCTCACCCTTTCTTATCAATGTACTTTTCATTGATCAAGGTCGTTGCCTTTTATGCATTCAAATGAGAACTCATAGGACTCACATGCATAATTAACTCAATTGGAACGACACATAAACAAGATAATGTCAACACGATAGGTTGTAAACCTCAAGTCGTGAGCTAGTGATGATCAATAAGGTTTATTCTTGATTATTTCTTGAAACTTTTCAAGATCATTAAGACTCCCACTGACTCCTTGACATATAAGATTCTCTTGTCAATAATCATTTCTTGACAAACAAATATTCAAGAGTTAGTGTAGCTTTTATCTAGACAAAACACTTCATAAATTGGTCCTAGTTGGTCTTTGTCTTGTCCAAGACATCACAACTTTCCAATTTCAAATATGCAAGAATAATAAAACCTTTTTCATATCCTACATTTGATGAGTATTATAAACCTTCTTAAGACTTTTCACTCAATATCACAATCTTAACTCTTAAGACTTGATTTGGAACGAAGTATGATTGACTTTGTGATTTAACCATTTTTCAATTCTTGATTCTCTTATCAGACATACATTTGTACTAGGACTCACTTAGAGAATCAATTGAGATATGGTTCTTAATCATTAAGACTTATCATAAAACATAATAAAAGGTACTCTCCCTTCTTCTTAAAATAGAGAAACTTTTATCTTTCTGCCTACTTGATTCTTCTTATTCGTTCGGCTATTGATTTAAACTCTTACAATCAATTCAGAATTACACTTAATCTTATAAGTATAATCATATTTACTAAACCTTTAGTAAATCATAACGAATATCTTTGTTACTCTTGTGGTGGACTTGATCAATACACAACTTTGTGTACTCGATCTCCTAGTCCTTCACTTGACACTTTGTGAACGAATTTGTCTAATTTCCAAATATAAAATTTCTCATTCATCATGCAACCAAGTTGTGTGATTCCAAATTTTTGTCCGATTGAAACTTGGGCAATGAGAAACTCTCCCTATTTGGTAAATTCTCGACATTTCCACAAACAACATAATTAAGAATCACATCCATTTGTTGTAAATATACGAACATCAATTTTTTTTTCATAACGATTTCATTGCAAGGAAATAAATAAATGAGTCAAATCAAAATTTATTTTTATTCATAAAAGCAGCAGAAATTATTTGTCCTTACAATGCAAAATCAACTAAAAAAATATGTAATAAATATTCCTAACAACTCTATCATAACTTCTCTAAGCTCAAAATGTAATCTTGAAGTCCATGCGGTCGAGATCCATTTCTTTGTGATTAGACTCATCTTGGTTTTCCATCAAGCTTCCTCTCTTTTCACTGATCCTACAAAACATTCAAATGTAACCTTATCACATTATGTATCAATGAATAAGAACTTAATGGAGTTAGATAGTGGATTTTACCTGAAGCACAGTCATACTCTTTGACTCTCCCATCTTCTGGACTCTTCAGGTTCTTAGGGCAGACTTGTATCCAACGCCCTTTCTCTTGGCAGCAAATGCAGGTCGGTTCTCCTAGAACGTCCTCGGAAGTATGGTTGGTTGATTTTCCCGACAAATACGCTCCATTGCTTTGCCAAATCATTTCTGATTCAGCAACAATGAGCATGTAAGTTAGGTCAATGAGATTTTCGTCATGATCCATCATATAATACTTTCTATTGAACTCATTATATGATTCGGGAAGTGACTGCAGAACCTAGTTCACAGCCAACTTATCCGGGAATGACACACCTAGCATTTTCAACTTATCAATGTGTGATTTCATTCCTAGAACATGGGCACACACGGGTTTACCATCTTCATGTTTCATTTCCAATAGTGCTTTAGTGACATTGAACCTTTCAATTCTTCGATCTTGTGGGTTAGGGAGAACAACGGGAGGAGGAGGAGGAGGAGGAAGTGAAGTATGATTTCTTGTTCCTCGATCGAATCATGGAATATCATCTTCATGTGGAATGCTTGTTCCACGGGATTTGGGAAGACCATAGTTGTCGAACTTTGACATCTACAAGACGGGAGAAAATTAAATTCAAGTTAGTTGATAGATTGAATCCTAAATAAATCAACCAAATGAGATATTAAGGCTAGGACCCAACACAATACGCTACAACCTAGAAAAAGGGATGTCGTAATCTAGTTGCAGAATATTTGAAGGTAAGTGAATGACTATTCACTAATTTTCCACCATGAAAAACAGTTTAAGTTTTAAATCTATTGAAAATTCCTAGATCTTTTGAGATTCATTGAACATTTCAATGGCATGTTTAAATCTCGATATGACCCTCTAGTTTGTGACTGAGATGCCGAGGATCACAAAGCGGGTGTGAATGACCATGCAAACTTACATGGTGCCCCCACATGTTACAATCACCTATACGATGTGCCGGTAAACCACACACTCTCCACCGAACTATGACAAACATTTTGTCACCCTTTGCTACCTTTGCTTAGAACATTTAGTGTGCCGGTAAACCACACACGGTCCACTAACGTCTTTGCAAGGGTACAAAGTGTAATTTCATGGAATTGCATCAATTCACTTTTGCCTATAGTAACTAAGATTGGGAATTTTAAAACATTTAGTTACTTTTGTACTTCATTATACTTATAATGGAAGGTTTTGTCCTATCATACCCGTTCGGCTAACGACCCTCCACTAGTCAAGAGTGCGGTGGGTAAGAGTGGATACCCATTCAATCGCCATTTTATAGGCAATTTCCTTAAACACCCCTTATAGACCAGCTTCGTAAATGAGGCATACTAACGGTAACACTGACTTTTACTCATACATATATATAATGTTAGACTTTTAATGTTATATATAGTATAGGATGTATTTTAGACTTTTAAAATACTATGTGGTCAAATTTAACAATTATACTTTTAATTCAATTAAATTGTAAACCAAAACTTTATGGATTTACTAAATCTCCTTTAATTATACACCTTAACTAATTAATAAAACCATAAGGGTGTGATTTGAACTTTTCAAAACAATACTAGGGTTTTAGAATTTAACATTTCTAAATCAAACTTTTTAATCAACTTTTAAATTCCAAAACTTGAGGGCAGGTTTTGAAACATTTCAAAACATTAGGGTTTTAACTATTTAAATTTCAAAAACAAAACTATTAAGTTCAAATTTAAACTATAAAACCTAAAAGGGAAAAATTGAAATTTTTCATAACACAAGGATCAAATAACGAATAATATAAATTAAACAATTAATTTCATCATTATCTATATGTGACCTAATTTCAATTTCTTGCAAAATAAGTTACCCAATTAATACAAATAATCAAACTTTATCGTATAGGGAAGTTATTATCTAATCAATTGGTAATTATCTTTTGTTTAATCAAGGATATACTCATAAATATGTATAAAATCGGATTTTATAACAAAAACATGTTTATGGTAATTATCCAAAGCCAAACCAGGAAGAAAATCGCGAATATGAGCTGTTAGACGCTTTGACTCGTCAAGTCTGGACCTGGATTCGTCGAGTACAACTGACTCGGCGAGTGCTCCAAGTGACTCAGTGAGTCAAACACTCAGAAGCAAAAAATTTCGTTTTGAGTGCTGATTTCGATCAAATATGCATCAATACAATAGAAACCAATCAAGGCTTTGATACCATTGTTGGTTTTTAGCCATAAGAACATCCTATGTGCTCATACAAACCCTAATTCTTGGATCTAGGTTTCTCTATTGTACATGAAATTCATCCAAGACTATAAACCCTAATTCTAGCATATGATAATCGATATTAACATAATAATGGGTTTAAGATATTACCTTGATTGTTATGTAGCAATAACAATCTTAATTCCTTCTTGTAATGACTTTAGAAAGCTTAGAGTCATAAATGTCACTCCTCTAATGGTTCACAAACACCAAGAGGAAGGGGATGAAGAAGAGAAGAGAAGAAGGCTGCCCAAAACGTGTGGAAACCCTAACCAATTAGTTCACCATGTTTTTGAGGCTTAAGGGTACTATATATACATGTAGGCTATTAGGGTTTTCAATTAGGAAACCTTAATTTTGATGCTTAGGCCCTAAGCAACCCATGGACACTTCCTTAATAAGCCTTGGACGGTTTCTAATGGGTTTCCCCATAGAATTCGTCCAACCTTATATAATAAGGTAATCCATAGCCCAATTGCAATTATCTTATAATTACAATTCCAGTCCCCTAAGTTTAATTAATCTCTTTTAGCCACAAATTTAATTCTTATTAATTCTTGACTAATATTAATTAAACAATATGATTTCTCCTTTAATATATTATTCACATAATATATTAATAAATCATATTTAATCCTTTCTCTCCATAATTCATCCTATCAAGTTGCTTTGGTGAAGGCAACCCAAAAGGACCATGCACCATCGGGTCAAGTACATACCAAAATAGTTATGGACTTAGACACTAATCCAACAGGAAGAAGCAGTGACGCTGCTTTGCGGTTGTCGAACGGGAGTGAGAAGCGAGGGCAAAGGAGGTCTCGATCCTTGGTCCGGTCACGAAGATGAAGCGACGTTTGGTCGACGGGAAGGAGGACATTTGGCTCAATGGAGCAAGGCAAGTGGAAACAGAAGCTCCGATGGGGGTTTTGGCAGTGGTGCTTGATAGAAGAAGAGGAACGAATCTCCTGTGGTTCACGAAGAGACAGGTAATTGTATGGGGCTGCTTCTGTAGCTCCTTCGTTCTTTCTTTTTCTCTTTTTTTTTTGTTAATTTTGATGGTAATCGATGGGGTTTTTGGATTGAATCTATTGTTTAACAGTAGTGGATATAACCTAAGTGGGTGCTTGGTTTCCTTGAAATAAGAAGATGAAGAATACATGTGTATGCGTTTGATGTTTGGTTTTAGTTGGACAGGGAAGGAAACAAAAACGTGATGTTGTTGTTTCTGTTTGGAGGTATACCCTAGAACAAGATCAAAGTCTACTTGTGTTCTTGGCTGAAATCGATGAGAAAGAAAGAATTTTGGATGTTTAGGTTTATTTTTTTGTTCGATTCTTACAGTTTTAGTATTTCTTTTTTGTGTGGGTTAGTATAAACTGAAATTAGAAGCAACATGTTGGTAAAGTGATTTATTACACTTCAAATAAACGAAAGTGATTTTTTTCTTACAGTTTTAGTATTTCTTGCTCATGTACTTTCTCTCCATTTTCTTTTTATCTTCTTCAGGGACTAATTATTCTGCTTAATCTTTCAGTTGACCTGGCTTAATGCTAATCTTACAAAGATCTGGCCCTCTATGTTGATGCGGTCAGTTTTAAAATTTAAACCCCTCTATTCACCATCATTATGGTAATATGCTTATCATGTGTTTTTGGATTGTCTTGTAGGCAGCATCTGAGCTTATAAAGACTAATTTGGAGCTAACTCTTGAACAATACAGACCAATCGTGTTGTCTATTTTTCATTTTCCAAGTTTACCCTCAGCACGGTGGCCCCTCAGTTTACAGGTTAGGCTAATTGATAGTATTACCATTTGCATTTATCCTTTCATAGTAAGAAGATTCCACATAACTTGAATCTTAATTATCAATTGTTTATATTGCTTAGGAGTTTCTACTGTTGAAGATGGAGGTGAAGGAATAACTATAGAGTTGGAAATGAATTGGGATGGAAACCTTAGTATAATACTTGATATCAAGACTTGACTAGGATTTCGATTGCCTGTGCAGGTAATTCAATTTGCCTAGCTATCAAGGGTTATTATTGGAATTTTGACAATAATTGGCTTCAACTTTGGTTACTATTAACAAACCATATTCTTTAAGCTTAATCTCTTTTGTTGTTCGGGTGAAGAATATTCCATTCATTAGGGTTTCTAGGTTGATTTTTAAGCAAATAATAAGATGATCATGATCATAAATTTTCTGATTATTGATGGTTAAAATAACCAAATTTGGAACAACATGCGAAATGAACTCTAAAACTAGTGAACTGTTAAAAGAAATGAAAATCTCAAAGAAACTTATCTCTTCATCTGTATATTTTTCTAGTGAGTCTTCCCAACACACGATCCTTAAATTGGCTTAACCTTTTTCTTCTAGCGTTTGTTTTCTTATAATGATAGATGATTGAGAAGAACTACTTAAGTTTTCCACAGATGTTGTATGTTCCTACTTTTTGTATGCACATTTTCAAAGTGATTACTGCAGTTCTGATGTTTTTTATTTTTTACTTTAATCAGGGTCCGGTGAAGCATATGCATATGTTGGATGATAAAAAACACCATACCTACATATGTATTTGGTGACCAGAATCTGCACATGTGGAAAAATGGATCAAGTCAACAACCATTAGCTGCAAGAAGTTATGATTGACATATCAAATGCTGCAAAAGATTTGATTGATCAAGATGTTTCGGCTTTTTATCGAAATCCCGATAATACCCTTTACATATAAAATGTGTGTGTGTGTGTTTGTGTTTATGTGTTTTAGAGTGATATGAATTTACTATAATACCCTTGGTTAATTTTAGGGTTGGAAGGTTTGGATGCCGGCTTAACATCGGTGTTGGAATCGATGGAATTCTGTTTGGAGTTGCGGGGTTCGGAAGCTTGTGCTTTGGAGGACTTCGCAAAAGCTATCAATCTAGTGCATCTCAGGAAGGATCTTGTGGAAAGTGGTCATGTGTTACTAAACCATGCTTATCACAATCAATAAGAATACGAAAGGTATGAGGGTGGAACTGGAATCCGTGATTCCAATGGAATTGGAATACGTGATTTCAGTCTGATGCCAAATAAAGGAGTTTAATTCTATCCGAAGGTAGAACCAGACTCAGTGATTCCGACAGAATTGGAATCAGTGATTCCGACAGAACCAAAACCTTACAAAAACTTCAAATGATTCCGACAGAATTGGAATCAGTGATTCCGACAGAACCAAAACCTTACAAAAACTTCAAATGAAAACCAAAATTGCAAGAGAACCTTTTGACATTATGGTTAATGTAATCGAATATATTTTTGTATATGTATGATATCTTATTTTGCATTATTGGACATTAAATGTGTAATTTATTTTTTTTAATATTTGGTACAAATTTAGAATATATATATATAACCATGAATGTTACAAATTACGACATACAAAGCCAATCGTAAATGTATGTCAAAAACGTGTGTCGTGTATGTATGTCATAATTGTAGGTCATAAAGGTCTGTCGTAAAATTTATGATAGGCCAAATGCCTGTCATTATCCTTTATGACATGGCTTTCAATGACAGACATTTGTCTATAATGTATAGGCATTTATGACAGACAATGTCTGTCAAGGAAAGCCTTTTTTCTAGTAGTGAGAGCCTTTAAATAGGGTTCAAAACCCCAAAATTAGGGTATTAATGTTGTGGACCTACGCTTAAGGTAATTACCATTATGCTCAGCGTAGGGTATTAAACCCCATATGACATCATCTTCTTACGCTCAATAGAGGAGGTTATCCTACGCTCAACGTAGGGCACCAAAAATGCAAAAATGGAATAATTGAACTTAGGTAATTGTACCTGAGGACACAAATGTTACATAAATAATAGATAGTCAAAGGTTAACATTTAACATGGTCCAATGAACCAACCGTATTAATATATTTATACTACTTATGGTGGACCTCTATTTATCAGATTTCAAACAAATATAACTTCGTAATTTTTATTTTTATTAGCAATTATTTTTCATCGAAAGAAACATAATTTATATAAAATTTCATAATTATTTGTCCTCTTTAAATAGATATCTTTATCGATATATACAAATTATTTTTTAAAGTTTCAACTCATATTCACATGAAAATTTGAATTGTAACTATTTTTTAAAAGATTATTCATGTGTGGATATATATATATATATATATATATATATATATATATATATATATATATAAACTTTTAAGAATTACTGATCACATTGAGTATTCATGTGTGGATGGTTAATATTCAAGAATCTTTACACTGGTTCTGAAAAGAGCCCTTATGGAGAAAAGATATATCTAATATATGTAAAATCATATGATTACGTCGCATTGATGTAAGATATATCAATAGGATTCGATTCCTATAACCCCCCCCCCCCCCCCCCCCTTTTATCTCACACTTGTTTCCCTTATTGATTATAAGATAAATTATTGAAAAAATCATTTTCTTTATACAAACTCTTTCGGTGTTAATATTATCATCGTTGTAGAGTCAAAGCAACATCACCATGACCCAAAACTAGCTACATTTTTAGTATTTAACTATGATTTTATCGCACGTTGTGACGACAATAATGTATTTAAGAAGCAGTAGAAAATAGTTTGCTGCATGTTGAATTAAAACTTATGAGGACTTAAGTTGAAAAACTACAAAAGTCACATACCAAAGCCATGTAAGAAAAAATGTTGAATAGAAATTTAGCACTTAAAGTTGGTAAACCACAAAAGTGAATGGCCAAAGCCTTGCCAAACAAAAACAATTAGAATTGTATTACATGTGACACATATATAGAAATAAATATGTTTTTTTTTAAGTTAATGAACGAAAGTGTAAAATAAATTAAACATGAAAATTTAAAAATTAAATTACGTCGAAATGTAGAAAAACTCGAATTTATACCGACATGTATATAAAAACACAAGTAATTTTTTTTTAATTAATGAATGCAAGTTCTAAATTTACGTTGAAACGTTACCACCTCTAACTTATAACGATATACTCATAAAATAAGCACGTAAGAAATTAGTTTTTTTTTTTTTAATTAACGAACGAAAGTTATTAAGGAAAATCATATATATATATATATATATATATATATATATATATATATATATATATATATATATATATATATATATTATGGGGATTAAAAAAGAAAGTTTAAAATGTCGATGAGTGAAACTAATATTTTACAAAGTTAAGGGGTGATAATTGTCAGTGAATGTAGGTCAAACACGAAAGTTTAGAGAGCGGGCAAGGTCAAGGTGAGATATCCCCAATTTTTGCAGCCAAATAATTTTTTTTACGTTTATTTAAAACAAAGTATTCCTTTGAATAATATATTAGTATGAAATTTCCACCAAAGCATTTTTTTGTAAGATGAAATCAAAACATTTTCAAAGAAATGTTTTTCATTAATATTAAAACCTCAGATGACATAACTAATAGGGAAACATAAGCATAAACTAATCATTACAGGCTTTACAATTGTTTATTATACTAATGACCTTAAACTCCTTATCACTCAATAGATTTAAAATCATTATACATGTGCCTTCGTACCACTATATGTGACACAAAGAAACTAAGTGGGTAAGGCTAGAGAGTTTGGTGAGTGAATACGGTTTTCAATTCACAATAATATAATTAAAATATTATATATATATATATATAATATTTTAATTATATTATTGTGAATTGAAAACTGTATTCATTCACCAAACCCTCTAGCCTTACCCACTTAGTTTCAATTAACCCGGTTACCCAATCTCGTCATTCTTACTCCGTGATCCTGAAATGATTATCTCAAGAGGCTTATCATAAATGATTACTTTAAGCAACAAGTAGACAATACCGTTGCGGGGATTCTTTAACAATATATTTCAATAAGGCAACCATGGGGGGATAGAGTACTCGAATGAACATCATTTCCTTTTCCCTAAAAAGTATGATCATTAACACCTATTGGTGGCGAGTCTGCTAGTGTTCCAAAGATTATCTAGAATAGTCATTGGTAGTCATCATACACTCTGCTACATGACTACTCTAGTAGTACAACAATACAATGTTAGTCATTGCCTCACACCATTATTTTATTATTCACAACCCTTTATTACCTAAAGTAATTTAAGTATGATAATAAAATAAATAATTATTACAACATTTCAATTAAGCAACAAAAATCCTGTCATGCTACTTTATCTAATGTATTTATACAAATAAATATTGCATATAACAGTTACACATTTAAATATTTTGTATCTATATGTAAAATGAAAGTAAATACGTACTCACTTGTTTAAAGTGAATGATTGGGGTGAAAGTTATTTTGTCTAACACCTTAGTTTTCCCTTTTAAATGACATACATAAAATCATTACTAAGTCTTAGTCTTTGTTTTATATTTTTCGAAACTATAATAACATTATTTTAGGTTCCTCAATAATTCCAAAGAAATATCGTGTTCTATTAAACAAGGAATTACCCGGTAAGATCATATATATATATATATATATATATATATATATATATATATATATATATATATATATATATATATATTATATTCTTTTGAAAATCCACATTAAACACCTCACTAAATTTATCCTAGATATCATTACCGTATGTAGATCTATCAGTATAACGACTGGGATTCCTGATAAATTTTATTTATTAATTCATAATAACGATTATGAATATAAATGTAAAATACATTTAAAACGTAGTAAGTGTAGAGATACATAAAATGTATGTCCAGTTTTCGCACATTATATATATATATATATATATATATATATATATATATATATATATATATATATATATATCACATTCATATAAACACATATGTAATCGAATCATTTTGTTTCATTTGTTTATAAAATTTAACAATCGTCAACCAATGTAAACATATATTTCTCTAAGAAATATCTAGCAAGAAACACGGGTGTTATAGTTAACTTTTGACACTTTTGGTTTCCTAAGTAAGGTTCTGCACTGCCCTATGTCACCATCGTACAAGCAGTAAGTCGACCATCTTGTGTCGTAATTTCTTTGTCGGTGGCCAAAAATTTCATCAAGTTCTTCAATCAATTTATTGCTTTCATCGAATTCTAATTACGAAAGTGGAATCACGTCGGATACATATCCCAAAAACTTCCTCAAGTGATAAACATGAAAGGTGTTATGAATACCTTCAAGTTCACTTGGAAACTCCAGTTTGTACACTTGGTTCCTAATTCTCTTAAGTACCTTGAACTATCCAATAAACCATGGACTCAACTTTTCTGTTTTCCAAATCTGATTAGTCCTTTCAAAGGAGAGACTTTTAAGTAATACCAGGTCTCCGACTTCAAAATTCATCGATTGTTGGTTTTTATCTAAATAACTCTTTTGACGGTTTTAGGATGCTATAATTTTGTCTATTATTACATTTAGTTTCTCGGCGGTATGATGGACAAATTCAGGCCCCATAAATTGTTTCTATCCCGCCTTGAGCCAACAACATGGCGTACGATATTTATGTCTGTATAATGAGTGATAAGGTGCCATATTAATGCTTGAATGGTAATTGTTGTAGGAAAATTCAACTATTGGTGGATGCTCATCTCAGTTACTCATGAACTCAATAGTGCATGTTTATAACATACCCTCCGGTGTCTGAATCATTCTTTCACTTTGTCCATCTGCCTGCAAATGGCAAGTTTTACTCAAACATAGTTTTGTGCCCATCTCTTTGTATAATCCCTTCCGAAATATTGAAGTGTGGCATAATTTTCAAGGGAACACAATGAGATTTTACTATCTCTTTCACATAAACGTTAGTGAGCTTTTCCATAGATATCTCTCGTTGTCTACTATGAAATGTGCACATTTTTTCAATCGGTCTACAATCACCCAAATCAAATCGTGACCTCCCTTCGTTTTGGGCAGTTTGGTTACGAAATGCATGGTAATGTCCTCCCATTTAACCATGGTTACCGGCAACAGTTCCAAAATACCATAACATTTCTAATGTTGAGTCTTAACTCTTGCATAGGTTACATACTTAGCGACATCAAGTTTCATCATTTTGTAAGATCCATCCTTGAGAAGATCTCTTATACCACCCATCTTTGGTACCTAAATTATGTTCTGGAATACCTTAAACTCTTGTTTT